CAAGAACAGTGTGGCCAGCAGGAGCAGGGAAGTGATCCTTCCCCTGTACTCTGCGTTGGTGAGGCCACACCTTGAGTATTGTGTTCAGCTCTGGGCCCCTCAGTTCAGGAAGGACATTGAGGTGCTGGAGCGGGTCCAGAGAAGAGCAACGAGGCTGGTGAAGGGACTGGAGCACAAGTCCTATGAGGAAAGGCTGAGGGAGCTGGGGTTGCTTAGTCTGGAGAAGAGAAGGCTTAGAGGTGACCTCATCACTCTCTTCAACTACCTGAAGGGAGGTTATAGCCAGGTGGGGGTTGGTCTCTTCTCCCAGGCAACCAGCAATAGGACAAGAGGACATGGGCTCAAGCTCTGCCAGGGGAGGTTTAGTTTAGATGTGAGGAAGAAATTCTTTACAGAGAGAGTAATCAGGCATTGGAATGGCCTACCCACCATCCCTGGAGGTTTTTCAAAAGAGATTGGATGTGGCCCTTAGTGCCATGATATAGTAATTGGAGTTGGATCAGGGGTTGGACTTGATGATCTCAGAAGTCTTTTCCAACCCAATCTATTCTATGATTCTATGATTCTATACAAACATATGAGGATGTCTTAGTTTAATGAGACTGAAGTGTTTTGCTAAGGAGGATGAGTTATGAGGAAGGCCATGCTCCTCCCTTTAAGCAATTGTAGATCCAAAATTAAGAGGCTCCAATTGAGGAAGTGTGGAGAAACAAAATATAACAGCCCTTTATTAAAGGATATATGTGTATAGGCAGAACAACAAAAGAACACAAAAACAACCAGACAATAATCCTGTACCCAAAAGTCCCCTTCAAAAGGAAACAGTTCAGTACTTTCTGCCTTTTGACGCAATTCTAACCACGAGCAGGACAGGGGCGCTGTTGGATCTCTGGAGGTGCATAGCCTGCAGTTGCTAGGTGCCGATCAGCAGGGAGCGCTGTTGGGTCTGGCAGTCGCCACGTGGGGGCCCCAGTGCACAGGAGAAGCCAAAAATAGAGATCTCCCTCCCCATTGAGAAGGGGAAGGGGGAAAGGGGAAAATGAGGTTCTTCCCGTGAACTCATGCTGTCGGCAGCTGACTACAGCCGGGACTCCCTCAAAGGTTCCTTCGCAGAAGGGTCAAGCCTTTCCGATGAAATCTGAGCGAGTCCAGGCTGGGGGCAAAACAGGGCACAGGATAAGGGAGGCAAACCAGGGCCAGAAGCAGCCAGGTGACCCGGCTGAAAACAAGTGAACCCAGAAACTTTCCACACACACACACACCCTCCCTGAGTCAGGGCAAAAGTGCTGTGCCACCTGTTTCCGAGGACAGATAAAAAAAACAACTCCTCACCCCTCCCCACAGTCTTCTGAGGGCCATTAGCTTGGAATGTGGGTCTGCTGGCTTGTTCTTTTGTGTGGGTTAATCACCCAAGGCAAACTACCCTCCCCCATTCAACATCTTTCTTTCACAGTGATGCAGGGAAAAGAAAAATTCCCTGCTTTTTTTTTTAGAACAAGTAAATCTATGACAGGATAATCATAAAACTAAAATCTGAAAGGAAGGGTACAACTTTTTTTTCCTACTTCCCACTTCCATTCTTCCCCATCAAATTGAAACATATGAATTTTTTTTGCTTTGTACAGTTCATATATTATTGGTCATATATTATGTTAAATTCAGGGATATTTACTTAGTTGTGTCAGATAATTTTAAGAGCTTTCTGGTTTTATACAGTTCCTGAGTTTATTATTTTTCTTCTTTGATGATCTTGAATTTCTTGGTCCTCCAGAGAAAGGCGTAAAAGGAAGAGTAGAAGTCTCTCCAAGTCTCCTAAAACAACAAAAAAAAAGTCTTCACAAACTCCTTCTCCAAGAAGGTCAGTTTGACATAAACATTAATGGGCAGTAAAGGAGGAAAAAGTTATAGTATTTCTGTTAAATTGAAATATGATATAGAGATCAGTGTTATGTAAGGAGCTAACTCAATTTCTGTTTCTTCTTGAGTTTTTTTAGTTTTTTTTTTTTTGTTATAGAAGAATCTCTAGTAATAATTTTCTAAGGAAAAGATCTCTTTCAATAAGCAGAACACTCAAAGGTGGATGCAGATACATATATTGAAAACAGTTTAGGAAGTATTTTCATTGATTTACTGCCTTTTCATTAGTCATCTCAGATAATTTCAATTGGTCAGTATGATTCAGTTCTAATTTAAAACAGACCAAAAAGCCCTTTATGGATTTGATCTGTGGTATGCTTTCAACTGGAGAGTTTTAAATCTGCCAGCAATGCAAATTTGCTTCAAATCAATAAAACCCCTTGATTGGATACAGATTAATTTGGTTTTCTCTTTCCAAATGCCATGTACACTGAACACATGCATTCTTTAGCTACCTTCCCTTGTCTTTATGAAGAGGTTTTTGTTATGTTTGAAAGTGACTAAACCTTTATGAAAGAAAGCAAACCAGGATACCAACTTTCGTATTTTTTGTGCAATTTACTGTACAGTACAGTCAGAGTATGCATTGGTAGTCAATTTGTTGCTGTTGGATCAAATTCTGATTTGAGTAAAAATTTTCTTAAACAGAAACAAGAAAGAAAAAAAAAGAGAAAAAGATAAAAATAATGAAAGAAGAGATAGGGAATACTCCACCTCAAAGAAAAAAATTAGTAAAGAAAAAGAGGGAAAGGAGAAATCTGACAAAAGCACCACTACTTTGAAGGTAAGCTGTGTGACCAAGTGATAAGCAGAGTGCTGCAAATGGAACAATTAATGGAATTTTCTCCCTTCTTTATCTCTCTTTTCCTCACCCTGTTTTGCTTATCAAAGTATTGCCACTTGGTAGAGCTTGTGTGAATAGGTTACTGAAACACTTGGTTTTGGTTTCTCTTTTCTGTTCTGTGCCATATGTTAGGAGTTGGCTGGCTGCCTATCTGTATGAGCAGGCATAAAAGAGATTGTACAACTAAGCATCAGGGTTCAGGGTTAGCTTGCCTGTGTTGTGGTTTAACCCTGGCCAACAACTAAGCACCACACAGCTGTTGGCTTGCTCTCTCCTCCCTGATGGGATGAGGGAGAAAATCAGAAGACTAAAAGGAAGAAAACTTGTGGGTTGAGATAAAGGCAGTTTATTAGGTAAGGAAAATTCCACACATGCAAGCAAAGCAAACCAAGGAATTAATTCACCATGTTCCATCATCAGGTAGGTGTTCAGCCGTCCCCAGGACAGCAGGGCTCCATCATACATAGTGGTTACTTGGGAAGACACACCACTACTAGGAATGTCCCCCTTTCCTCCTTCTTCCCCCAGCTTTTAATTACTATGAATAAAATTAACTCTATCCCAGCCAAAACCAGCTAGGTTGTCAATCTGAAAAGATTTTTAATAAAATTTCACTCTGCAGTTCAGCCTCTCCCTGGTTGCTTTGGTCCTGGACTCCATATCTGACAGCAGGAATAAGGTTGAAGATTTGCAGAAAAATTATGGGATTTTTCCCTTGCAAAATAAGAAAAGGTGTAATTAAGAAAACAAACATTTTCAAATGTTCAATCTTAGAATTTGAAAAGCATCATGCTTCTAAAGAGTAGTTTGTGTTACTCAGAATTATTCAACTGTTATAAAACAGCTGATTTAGGTGACTCTGTCCACGTGCTTAAGTAACTCAAGAACTCTCTTAAAATTTATGAGTTACCTGACAAAAAATAGAAAAATTGTAATTCTGTTTTGTTTTAAAAATATGTTGAAGTCCTAATTTCTGGAATTTCTTTCTCATATGTGCCATGATACTGCTTGTTCTGAATTATCTGAATATTGATCATAAAGACAGATGACTTTATGGCAATGATTTCTTGGATGACAGGTTGTTATGAGTGCCTAACTTCAGCCAGTTAAAAAGAAAAACTTTTTTAAACTAAAGATTATTTGACTTTAATTTTTTTTAAAAAAGCTGACACCTCTATTCTGAACATTACTGAAACAAGGTGTGTAAAGATTGAGACAATCAAAATGCCAGTAGTTGGTTGGAAGTCATATCCTGTAATGCTAAGAGAGTGATTTTGGTTTTTTAAATAATTTTATCTTTTGTAGGACAAAGATCATACTGAAGAGGATCTGAATTCAGAAAGTGACGAGGAAGTAGGCAATAGAGAAAGGACTGATGAAATCAAACTACAACAGAATGGGAACTGTCAATCAAATGACGAAAACCTCTCAATTAAAATGGAAGAGTTTTAAAGCAAAGAATGGACCTCTGACTCAACTAAGGGATGAAATCTGAAGCTTTTTTTTTTCCAGAACAAGGAGGAAAATGTCAAAGTAATCAACCTGAACATGGTGATAGTACTAGTAGCTCTCCCAATTGTAGTGATAGCTTTGTCGACTTCTTGCTGTAAAGCAAGAGAGCATGAACCAGTAGTTATACCATGAAAAGGCAGATGCCATCAGAACTATTCATATCTGAAGATCCATGAAGTCTCCAAGATGGCTGTACTTATTTGTAAAATGATTTAAGTTTTGCCATAAGCTGTTACAAATACGTAGAAACTGAAAAATGTAAACCTGTACTATCCCCCCAAAAAAACTGAATATATGCATTGAAGATTGTTTAAAATACTGCTTGTTGATGAATTTTGTATTGGTTGACTTTTATGGTTAAATCCACAAAACCTTCAATGTGTACTGTTTGATATACTTGGAAATGGTGCATAAATATACACACTTTCTTTAGTTGTTGTCCTGGGTTACACAAAAATTCTGGTATCCACCTTTTTCCACTTCTTCTCTTTTTCCCAAATGTGCCTACTAATTTGGACTATGATGGGAACTTGAGATAAGGGTGGTACTATTATCCTAGGAGAAGAATGTATCCACAAGTGTGAGAGACTGGAATGATGATGACTCAGACAATTCAGGTGCAAGGGGATGATGTGCAAAGTAGCCACCCAGGTGCTGAGGGGGTGCACACCTGTCACCTCAGGCTACAAGTTGGGTGTTGTTTCTTTGTCCTTACACAAATGACTCAGCTGTGATAACTCCCCTCCAGGGAAGCATCACGACAATTCACACATAGCCTGAAGATATTAATTTCTGCTGATAGACCATAATGGATCCACCTGTGCTGACATAACAGGCAGTTGTAATGTTTTAAAAGGTGTCAAAGACCCATGAAATTCAGTATTACATCATCCAGTGTAGAATTCCCTGTCCCAGAGGCATTCCCACCTAGCCTAAGCCAAATAAAAGACCACACTCAGACTTCACTCAACATGGTGTTTTCTTCCCTCACTACCTGGAACTTTCCTTACCACCTGGGGCTTCCACCACCACCTCAACAGATCTGGACTGTGACCCCCACTTTGACCAATGAACTTTGAAATTGCAACAACCAAGTCTCATCACTGGGTCCCATGGGTGTCTTGCGGGTTCTTCCAGTCTCCTGGGGGGTCCACAACCCTGCTCTGACTGCCTGTACCAGCACCACAGCCTCACTCCAGCGCTGACTCTCCAATGGTTCCTGCCAGGTTTTCTGGGTGTGAGGGAGGTGAACCACGTGGAAGGGTGACCATCTTGTCTCTGTCCTGTGGCCATGTGTGGTTTTTTTCCAGGTGGAGGAGGCTGTCCACCATCTTGATTTGGTCTGGTGGGTAGGGCTTGGGAAGTTCGTCCTCATCGGTTGGTTTAACCCAGTTATCAGTATTGTTATTAGCATTCTTCTTGGTAAAGAGTTATTTTTTCACTTACATCTGCGTGTACTTGGTCTCTCTCTCTGTATTGGAGACACCAGGGGTATTGAATCCAAGGGACATGTCTGTCTGAGGTCTCCGCCCCTCCAAATTGTCTCAAACCAAGACAGTTGTAAAGAAAAATCATTTTTAAACATAAGCACTTTTCTGGTTCTTACGTAAAATGCCCACTGACTGGTTTGTTTTTCATTTGCTTACTGCTTGAGATTCTTGGGTTTATTTTAAAAAAATTCTTACTGTTATCCTTAAAATGAATGTTTCTTTTAAAGTACTTGAACAATGTATGATACTTTTGTGTTCCAAAAAGGAGCATTGCCATGTTATAGATATTGGGTTAGCTTATTGGGTTATTTTGGGTTTGTTTTGCTTTTTTGTTTATTTTTGTCCATCCAGAAGTGACCACATCTGTATGATGTTAGAACTTACAGCTTTGTTTTGAGCTGTAATGCAGTGTGTCTGTTCAGCTGAAAATACTACAGGTGCCATTATGAAAATAATTTTTTTCTTATTTGTTAAAAATTATGAGAGCGGGAGCAGAAGCTTTAGTGCCTTCTTGAAATAATGTGTTATTTTCTAGAAGTGTTTGTGCTATTACTCATTTTCATGTAAATCTTACATTATCTCTTGGTATTTGCCATCACAATACTGTAGACAAGAACAAAAGTTATTTATCAGAACTTGTTAAAATACTAAAACTCAATTTTTACTTTCTTTATTTTTAGAAGAGATTTATAGGTGAAAGCAAAGATGCATTTGGGGGACCACTACTGTACAAAAGCAGTAGCTGAATACAAAGTATTTTCTGATCACCTGCATCAAAAAGACAGCCCTGTAGACATTTAATTTACACTTGAATGGCCTTAATTGTTACCTCTCCATCATCATCTCTGATACCTATTTGGTAATATAAAAGGAATCATATGCAAAACTGAGGGGATAAATAATTGGGAGAAAAGTTCTAATTTACAAAGGAGTTATATGGTAGAGATTCTGTTTTCATTCTTTAAAGACAAAGCATGTAAGAAGAGAACAACAAAGTAGATATTTCTGTCAAGCTAAAACATGGCTTGTGTAACTAATCAGTTTCATCAGTGTGAGGTTTCTTGAGTCATACCTTTAAAATTTATACGTAAAATCAAGTAGATTATTTTTAAAACAATACAATCAAATTATGTCTTTCAGTTAAAAGCAATTAATATCACATTAGCTATTTGCTTTCAATTTGGTTTTATTTTCCTTTGCATAGGTAATTCTTACTACAAAAAAAAGGCATATTACAGGGAATGAAAAATAACCCAACTTGACTGTAAGATGCTTAATGACTTTTTTTTATAGGATTTTATCTTCATGAGACTGTGTACATTTAAGACTTTAGAAAATGCTTTACCATGTAAAGTATAGACACTCATTTTTGAGATGTTAAAGCTACTTGCTATTGACTAGTAAGCAGCTTATTCTGATAAAAGAATGACAAATCTGTATGCTTAGAGAAAGACTGTGAAGGATTGTGTCTTACAACAACAGCTGTTTTATTTATGATGTGTGAGTAGCATAGAGCAAAGAAATTCTTTGTATACTTGTTATCTTTGGTACCATTTCACTAATAAAATTGAATAAAATTTAGTGGGAAGATTTTGCTCTTACATACTTTCAGTTGATCTGGTCTTATTCAGGCAGCTTCTTTGATTTGAAATGGGGATACAAATGTAAATATACATGTATTATTTATAATATCTTTGAAAAGCTAAGTTTCTCATTTGGGAGAAATTAGAATTCTTTCAACATATCACATTTTAGGTGAGATTAGTTTGATTTCCTGAGTTTTGTTATTCTGAAATTGAATAGCTCTATTATATAGCAGTTACAGAATATGTAAAGGATTATGTACAGTTAGCTAAGAAACATGCCTTAGAAAGTTAATAGTTAAGGATGGAAGCCATAATAGTTAATGTATCACGTGTAAGTCAATATGCAGCACATTGTTATATTGTATGTGAATTAATGGTTCCCTTACAAAAAGTTTTGGGGTTTTTTTTGGTGTTTTTTTTTTTTTTAATAAAAAAGGCAAACAAAAGCAAATCCACCGAGCACATAAATTCCCTCCCCACCCCAAGTCATATTTTCTTACAAATGCTGTATTTTCTGATTTTACTTTGTAAATACTATGCAGATCTCATAAGTTTTTATATCTATTAGTATTGGGTGACTTAGTTTCTCTCTTCCTAAAAAGCTATCACTAGAGAAGTATTCTGTAAAATGCCTATCTCTGCAGAGGGTAGCTAATTTTTAAACCAGTGGCATAGCACAGAAATGAAGTTCCTACTTGCTTCACTAGGATTGTGTGCATCATCCATTAAATGTGTACATCTTCCAATGAAAGTTCATTATCTTCATCATTAGGTTTGCATGCTGTCTTGCCAGATTAGGTTATTTGCTTTTGCACTTTTATAAATGAGATGAAATTGAGTGGAGGTTTTGAGAACAGTGTAGTTCATGATAGTTGTATTTTTTCAAATGTAATTTTATATGAATCAGCTTTTATTTGAAAATGCCATGATTCATAATTGCTCCGAAAACTGATGATATGGTGCCATTTTACTAAGATTATTGTAAAGAACTTATGTGGAAGCTTCCATTAGTGACCACAGTTATTTCACCATGCCATTTCCAGAACAGACAATTGCTGGTGGATGAAGCAGGATTCCAGGCTCAAAATAGAGGTGGCTATGGCTTAGATAAATTCATTGAAGTAAATGGCAAACCCAGATGTGAAGAATGAATTTCTGTTTTTAAACACTGTTAGTAGTATGGTGTTAAAAAAATCTTGGTTTTCAGATTTCAGACTTAGAACCGAGAGGGGAAAAAAGCACCTAAGTTGTAAACTAGAAATATCTGAACAATGCCTGAGAAATTGATGAGACATGAGTTATTCCTACTCAGTAGTTGCCTACTAATTGTTTTGTTTGTAATTTCAGATCTGAAGTATCTTTAAATTATCTGGCTAGCAATGGCTACATACAGTTTGGACTCTGAAATGAGCTGACCATTTGAGTGCATTTACTTTGCTGCTAAGAAGGTAAACTGTCTGAAGCATGCTTATATTGCTTGCTAGTGTTCTCCAGATCAGATACATCTAAGGCAATACCTGAAATTAATTTGAAACTGTAAATCTCTTTTTGTTATGTGGTGGCTTATCTGTGTTGCCCTTAGCTTGAACTGGTATTTTGTAATAGTTTTTACATTTAAGGATTTCTGTGATTTTTTTCTTTTGGTCCAAAGAAGACATAATAAGTAGAGACTGCTTTGTATGATAAAAATTCTTTTATACTGCATACTTATTGTGTCACTTACTGTGACCGGTTATTTTTTCATTCATGTGTATGACAGTTGTAAGGAGTAATGTCATAGTGATATCTGTAGCTTCTACTTTTAGGTCTGAAGAATGCATCACAGTCTTATGTTAGCTTCTAAAGAATTTTTTGTTGTTAGTTTGAAAATTG